TGAAAGTATCAACACAGGACAGAACACGAAACAATGGATATAAATTGGATAAGTTTAGATTTAGGAAAGACTTGGGTAAATACTGGTTCAGTAACAGGGTTGTTGATTTAAGAACATAAGAACATAAGAACAAAGGTAACTGCAGAAGGCCTATTGGCCCATACGAGGCAGCTCCTATTCTATAACCACCCAATCCCACTCATATACTTGTCCAACCCGTGCTTGAAACAATCGAGGGACCCCACCTCCACAATGTTACGCGGCAATTGGTTCCACAAATCAACAACCCTGTTACTGAACCAGTATTTACCCAAGTCTTTCCTAAATCTAAACTTATCCAATTTATACCCATTGTTTCGTGTTCTGTCCTGTGTTGATACTTTTAATACCCTATTAATATCCCCCCGGTTATGTCCATTCATCCACTTGTAAACCTCTATCATGTCACCCCTAACTCTTCGCCTTTCCAGTGAATGCAACTTAAGCTTTGTTAATCTTTCTTCATATGAAAGATTTCTAATTTGGGGAATTAACTTAGTCATCCTACGCTGGACACGTTCAAGTGAATTTATATCCATTCTATAATATGGCGACCAAAACTGAACTGCATAATCTAAATGGGGCCTAACTAGAGCAAGATATAGCTTGAGAACCACACCAGGTGTCTTGTTACTAACGCTGCGATTAATAAATCCAAGTGTCCGATTTGCCTTATTACGAACATTTATGCATTGATCCTTTTGTTTTAAATTCTTACTAATCATAACTCCCAGATCCCTTTCGCAATCCGACTTCGCAATCACAACACCATCTAGCTCGTATCTTGTAACTCTATCATCATTACCTAACCTCAGAACTTTACATTTATCAGCATTAAACTGCATCTGCCAATCCTTTGACCATTTCAAAACCCTATCTAGATCAACTTGAAGTGATAGTGAGTCCTCCTCCGAATTAATTTCCCTACCGATTTTCGTATCATCGGCAAATTTGCAAATGTTGCTACTCAAACCTGAATCTAAATCATTTATATATATTATAAACAACAGAGGTCCCAGGACAGAGCCTTGAGGCACTCCACTTACAACATTTTCCCACTCTGACTTGATTCCATTTATACTAACTCTCTGTTTCCTTTGGTATAGCCATGCCCTAATCCAGCTTAATATAGCACCCCCAATACCATGAGACTCTATCTTTTTAATCAGTCTTTCATGTGGCACTGTATCAAAAGCTTTGCTAAAGTCAAGGTATACAACATCGCAATCCTTACCACTATCAACTGCCTCAACAATGCTAGAATAAAAAGATAACAAATTTGTTAAACATGAACGGCCATTTATAAAACCATGTTGCGACTCAATTATTAATTTATGTTTTTCAAGATGAAGACGAATTTTATTTGCTATTATAGATTCGAGTAACTTTCCCACAATAGACGTTAGGCTAATTGGTCGATAGTTTGACGCAAGTGATCTATCTCCTTTCTTAAAAACTGGTATCACATTAGCAACTTTCCAAAACTCTGGCACTCTGCCTGACTCTATTGATTTATTAAATATAGTTGACAGTGGGTCACAAAGCTCCTCTTTGCATTCTTTAAGCACCCTGGCAAACACTTCATCCGGCCCTGGGGATTTGTTTGGTTTGAGTTTTACTATTTGTTTAAGAACATCCTCCCTGGTAACTGCTAAACTCGTCAACCTGTCCTCGTCCCCACCCACATAGACTTGTTCGGCTGAAGGCATATTGTTAAGTTCCTCTTTAGTAAATACAGATACAAAATATTTATTAAAAATACTACTCATCTCTTCATCACTATCTGTTATTTGACCTGTCTCAGTTTTTAATGGACCTGTCCTTTCCCTAGTCTTAGTACGATATAACTGAAAAAACCCTTTAGGATTTGTCTTTGCTTGCCCTGCTATGCGAACTTCATAGTTTCTTTTTGCTTTCCTTATCTCTTTTTTAACATTTCTAACCAGTTGTACGAATTCCTGTTCTAAAGTGACCTCCCCATTTTTAATCCTTTTGTACCAAGCTCTCTTTTTACCTATAAGGTTCTTCAAATTCTTTGTTATCCACTTTGGGTCATTAGTATTCGATCTATTCAATTTGTATGGTATACTATGTTCCTGTGCTTTGTTTAGAATATTCTTAAATAAGTTATATATTGAATCCACATCGAAATCCCCATTTAAGTCACCTATCGCTGGGTTCATGTCTCGCTCCAAGACCGGCCCACACCCCATACCCAAGACTTTCCAATCAATTTGACCCAAAAAATTTCTTAGGCTATTAAAATCAGCTTTTCGAAAATCTGGCACTTTAACAGAATTTTCTCCTACTGGTCTATTCCATTCTATGCTAAATCTGATTTCTTTGTGATCACTGCTCCCTAGCTCACTCCCTATTTCGATGTCATTAATTTGCGTTTCCCTGTTAGTTAACACTAAATCTAAAATATTATTTTCCCGTGTTGGTTCCTTAATGTGTTGCGTAAGAAAGCAATCGTCAATTAATTCTAGAAAATCTTCTGCTTCACTATTCCCTGTTTTGTTCAACCAGTTTATTCCGCTAAAATTAAAGTCACCCATGACATAAATACTGTTAGATCTAGATGCTCTAGTTATTTCATCCCATAGATGCTTTGCTTCCATTCTGTCTAAATTTGGTGGCCTATATATTACTCCTATTATAATATTATTAGCTTTTTCGTTTAATTCAATCCAAATAGTTTCTGTGTGTGGCTCTGTTTTGATTCCCTCTTTGAGACTACATTTCAAATTGTCCCTAACATATATGGCTACTCCACCTCCTCGTCTAATATATCTATCTGTGTGAAATAGTTTAAATCCATATATTTGATATTCAGCTAATAGTTCTCTATTTTCTACATTCATCCACGTTTCGGTAAGTGCAATAATATCTATTTTTTCTGTGCAGACAAGAGCATTTAATTCGTTAATTTTATTTCTTAGACTTCTACTGTTAGTGTAATATACCCTAAGTGAATTGTTATTTTGCGGACCTTCTCTTTCAGTGATCGTTTTGCCAATTCCTTTCTCCCACAAACACATACTTTTATTACCTCCTTCCTCCAAATCAATTCCCATACCTCTATCTACTAACAGTTTAAACCCAAACAATTTGTGGAACCAATTGCCGCGTAACATTGTGGAGGTGGGGTCCCTCGATTGTTTCAAGCACGGGTTGGACAAGTATATGAGTGGGATTGGGTGGTTATAGAATAGGAGCTGCCTCGTATGGGCCAATAGGCCTTCTGCAGTTACCTTTGTTCTTATGTTCTTATGTAATAACAGCTGCCTCGTATGGGCCAATAGCAGCTGCCTCGTATGGGGCAATGGCAGCTGCCTCGTATGGGCCAATAGCAGCTGCCTCGTATAGGGCAATAGCAGCTGCCTCGTATGGGCTAATAGCAGCTGCCTCGTATGGGCCAATAGCAGCTGCCTCGTATGGGCCAATAGCAGCTGCCTCGTATGGGCCAATAGCAGCTGCCTCGTATGGGCCAATAACAGCTGCCTCGTATGGGCCAATACCCTAACTCTTCGTCTTTCCAGTGAATGCAATTTAAGCTTTATTAATCTTTCTTCATATGAAAGACTTCTAATTTGGGGAATTAACTTTGTCATCCTACGTTGGACACGTTCAAGTGAATTTATATCCATTCTATAATACGGCGACCAAAACTGAACTGCATAATCCTAACCAGAGCAAGATATAGCTTAAGAACCACACCAGGTGTCTTGTTACTAACGCTTCGATTAATAAATCCCAGTGTCCTATTCGCCTTATTACGAACATTCATGCATTGATCCTTTTGTTTTAAATTTTTTTTAAACACCCCATACCCAAGACTTTCCAATCTATTTGGAAACTCATAAACATGTCCAACCCACGTTTGAAACAATCAAGAGACCCCGCCTCCACCGTTACGCGGTAATTGATTCCACATATCAACAACCCTGTTACCGAACCAGTATTTACCTAAGTTGACCAGACCACACACTAGAAGAAAGGACGACGACGTTTCAGTCCGTCCTGGACCATTCTCAAATCGATCGACTTGAGAATGGTCCAGGACGGACCGAAACGTCGTCGTCCCTTCACCTTCTAGTGTGTGGTCTGGTCAACATACTTCAGCCACGTTATTGTGACTCATCGCCTGCATTTACGCGTCTTTCCTAAATCTAAATTTATCCAATTTATACCTCATTGTTTCGTGTTCTGTCTTGTGTTGATACTTTTAATACTCCATTAATATCCCCCTTTGTTATGTACATTCATCCACTTGTAAACCTCTATCATGTCACCCCCTAACTCTTCGCCTTTCCAGTGAATGCAATTTAAGCTTTGTTAATCTTTGTTAATCAGTTCAGTTTTGGTCGCTGTACTATAGAATGGATATAAATTCACTTGAACGTGTAAAGCGTAGGATGACAAAGTTAATTCCCCAAACTAGAAATCTTCCATATGAAGAAAGATTAACAAAGCTTAAATTGCATTCACTGGAACGGCGAAGAATTAGGAGCCAATTACCGCGTAACGTGGTGGAGGTGGGGTCCCTCGATTGTTTTAAACGTGAGTTGGACATGTATATAAGTGGGATTGAGTGGTTATAAATAGGAGCTGCCTCCTATGGGCCAATAAGCCTTCTGTAGTTTCTTTAGTATTAATATCTTGTGTTAAGTAATCAAACAGCTCCTTCATCCATGACCCGCCTGTGTTGGGATCAAGCACTTCCACCTCACCTCTCTACATATTGGTGAGGTGAGGGTACGTGGACCCCGACACATATATATAACAGAACATCAAGGAAATCATTCATTAACCAATCTGCACCATTCGCTGTTCTCTTGAAGATTATTCGGCCTTATAATTTACTTCTGGGAGAAAGTTGCATGTTCTAGTTACTGTTCGAACACTAGACACCACTCCACATTATAGATAAATATTTAGTCGTTGTTGTGAACACAATTATGAGTACCTCTTATAAAGATTACGAAGACGTTATTGACATATTCACTCAACTTGACAATCTTTCGAAAGAGAGTGATGTGTCTGTCACGACTCATCCTCTGCATGAGGAGACTGAGGAACAAGGCGCCAGAATGCTGCGGTACATTAGTGAGACGTCAGCAGTGTGTCCCAAGGAGTCTGGGCAAGAATTTACACAACTGAAGCCTGTGGAAGACTCTGGTGAGAAGTTAGAAGACTCATCCTCTGTAACGACTTATCCTCTGCATGAGGAGACTGAGGAACAAGGCGCCAGTATGTTGAGGTACATTGGTGAGACGTCAGCAGTGTGTCCCAAGGAGTCTGGGCAAGAATTTACACTACTGAAGCCTGTGGAAGACTCTGGTGAGAAGTTAGAAGTGAGTCCCAAGTATGGGGAAGGATCTACAGTACTGAGGAGACGAAGGGCTGTACATAGTGGTGAGAAGTCAAAAGTGAGTCCCAAGTATGGGGAAGGATCTACAGTACTGAGGAGACGAAGGGCTGTCCATAGTGGTGAGAAGTCAGAAGAGAGTCCCAAGTATGGGGAAGGATCTACAGTACTGAGGAAAAGGAGGGCTGTACAAAGTGGTGAGAAGTCAGAAGAGAGTCCCAAGTATGGGGAAGGATCTACAGTACTGAGGAAAAGGAGGGCTGTACAAAGTGGTGAGAAGTCAGAAGAGAGTCCCAAGTATGGGGAAGGATCTCCACTACCGAAGAAACGGAGGGCGGTACGTAGTGGTATGAAGCCTACGTTATGTGACCGGTATCCTGGTGAGAAGTCAGAAGTATTTCCCAAGTCTGGCCAAGAATTTCCACTACTTAAGACTGTGGAACAAGGCAGGCTGGGGCATACTGGTGAGAAGTTAGAAGCGTGTCCAGAGTCCGGGGAAAGATCTACACTACTGAAGAAGCAAATGGTGGCAGATAGGCCGTCATGTTACCAGTGTGGGAAAACCTTCAGCGACCGCAGTGGCTTAAACAGGCACATGCTCGTCCATACTGGCGTTAAATCTCACGTGTGTGAAGAGTGTGGGAAAAAGTTCCTTCGAAATGATTATTTGCAGCAGCACCTGATGGCCCACAGTGGTGATAAACACTTCCTGTGCAAGCACTGCGGGAAAAGATTCTGCCGACTTGGCAACTTGAATGATCACATGATGGGACATAATGGTGCGAGACCTCACATGTGTCATGTGTGTGATAAACTATTCAGCAGACCGGACTATCTGAAGGACCACATGGTGGTTCATATGATTTGATGACAAACCTTACATGTGCCCACACTGTGGGGATAGATACACTCAGCTTGGAAATATGAACAAACACATTCAGCTGCATACAACTGTGCTCGGTGTGTGAGAATTTTGAAATATTGTATAAATAGTGAGAGCCTAATCTCAAAATTAGGCTACAATGTTCCTGTTAATAAACTTTCAAATTTACTGCAATTTGCCTATTAATATTCTTAAAATTTTCCTACAATGTACCTATTATTATTCAAATTTGGTACATATTATTAACTTATAATTATTTGTTAGATTAAGGACCTGTCCGAAAAGTTGTGTGTTAGTGATGTTAAAAACATCAATGTTATATACTTACAAACCCAATGCACCTTCTTGCACTAGTATATAAATAAATGAAAAATAAAAAGGACATATGGTTTAAATATATATCTATTTATTTACAAGAATATTTTATTTACAATATTTACAAGAATAAATATTGTGATTTTATCCTGTAATGAAATCATATCCTAAACTAACTAATCAGTATAATGAACAAATCTACAATGACCGTAATAAGGATTTGAACCTACACACGGGATGTTCCCAGAAGCGCCTTAGTCAACTGTACCACCACATGGTCAAAAGAATGAGTCACAATAATGTGGCTGAAGTAGTTCGTCACAATCGACTTGAGAATGGTCCAGGACGGACCGAAATGTCGTCGTCCCTTCACCTTCTAGTGATTTTATACTTTTCAAACTAGATCATCCATATTATTCCAGTATACATAAGAAACTTCTTCATTTGCATTGGAATAATTAATACATAATCTAGCTTAACCTAGCTAACAGCCAATATCTATATATCTAAGTGAACAAATTGTTTACTGTGGCCAATCATATCCATTTCCTAGTAAGCATTCATAACATACTAGTAACAGTTCTGTCAAAAACCACAGTACTCAGTACAATCTTATTTCACATATATATATCATATATATATATATATATATATATATATATATATATATATATATATATATATATGAAAATATCTATCTTTAAAAGTGTTTTTAACACAGTAAGAATATTTCATTACAATATTACCTATATTAACTGAAGTAAACCCTACTGATTTGACCTACAGGTCAAATCATTAGGCATTTCTACAGGATTTTATCAACCCCCTACTAGGGTAATATATCTTGTAATAATTTTGCAAAAAATAGTGCCATTTACTATTTTTAAATAGTTAATTACAAAATTTACCGATATGGTGCAATCGGATGAAAACCAAATTTTTACACTTGACAATTCTTTATTCACTTGTCAAGTGACAACTTGTAATGACACAACTTTACACTTGACAAGTGACAATACACTTGACTTTCAGCTCCTGCTATATCCAGATTCCAGGGAGGAAAGGAAGGATGATCTTTGGAATCATTACCTAATTAGACAGGAATAAAATATTCCTGACAATCATTCCTTCAATGATTCCTGTAATCAAAAAATATAATATCTTGGAAAAGTCAAAGAAAAAAGTTTAGTGTCAAGGACACTAAAGTGTCTACATAATTACTTAACTCAACAGCTTGACAGATGTCAAGAGTTAGCTAATCAGGTATCTCTTGATTTAATCATCTTGAATAACAGGGTCAATGCTGCAGTTGATAAATTTGATAAAATCAATTGCCATGCAGAGATTTATCTAACAGAGATGGCTAATGCTGATTTAACCCGAAGGAAACTTCAGGATATCAGAGCTGAAACAGCAATTATGAAAATATAATTCAGGATCGTCTAGATCAATTAATCAGACTTGCAGTAGCACAGCCAAATGTGAGCACATCCACTCAGTTTGGTACCTTGGCAGATGTAGATGGTGTTCTCAAAAGATTGGCAGATGTAGATGGTGTTCTCAAAAGATTGGCAGATGTAGATGGTGTTCTCAAAAGATTGGCAGATGTAGATGGTGTTCTCAAAAGTTTGGCAGATATAGTTTAATGCTGACAAATAAAGTTTGAGTTACAATATATCACTTGCATGAAATAAATAGGACAGATTTATTTCTAGAAGCGTTAGCAATAAAACTTCTTGTATTATTATTCAGCAATATCTTGTTTGATTATACAGTTCACTTTTGGTCGTAAAGTCACCAGATAGTGCTAACCCCACAAATAAAAAATCTTCTTTGTGAAGAGATTTAAAAAGCTTAATTTACATTCTCTTGGAAGGTGAAGAGTTAAGGGTTAAATTTAGATCAAGATATTACTCTGGGTAAGGGACTATGAATGGTGAAGTACATTACAAAATGTTTTCCACACACATTCCCACATATTATAACGCTCTGCACACACTTAACAATATTACATAATATGACTTTAAACATATTATATAATATGTGTCACTAGTAATTGAGAGATAATAATCGTCACTAATAATTGAGAGATAATAATGATGAGCAGGTGATGAATGAGGAGGGGAAGATGTGTGCAGGGGACACTTACCCGGCCACCACGATGAAAAGATCCAGTCTGTTCCAGGAGTCAGCCATATAAGCCCCTTTCCCAGACCACCCCATCGCCACCATCTTGATCATCTCCACGGCGAAGAAGGCAAAGATTGCGTCGTCGAACATCTGTGGAAGGTGTTCCACCATCACCACCAGCACTATTACAACCACCTCTATTATACATTATATATTATTACATATATATTATATATTAACATACTAAACAATCTGGAGGATGTTGATCCGGACATTTTCTTCAAAAAAGATTAGCTGTAACATGAACGAGGAACAACGGGTTCCAGCTCAACAAGCAACATTGTAGGATTGACAACAGCAGATGCTTTTTCACCCATGGGGTTGTAAACCCGCGGAACGGCCTACCCGCTGAAACCGTAAACGCTAAAAATCGTTTTAAAATACAGCTAGAAAAGATAAGGGAAAATGGGGGGGGAACCTTTGACAAGCCGCCGGCTTCCTGTCCTCGTCGAGATCACTAGTATTAGTGGCCCCTCAGGTAAGGTGTATATAAAAACATCGTATCCCATGCTGGAGTTCTTATTTACTGACACTTATTATTATTTAAGATATTTCTTAAACCCATTTAAACAATGGGTATAAATTGGATTAGTTTAGATTTAGGAAAAACCTGGGTAAATACTGGTTCGGTAACAGGGTTGTTGATTTGTGGAACCAATTACGCACAACGTTTTAGGCAAGATAAATACTTTTTTTTTATTTTCTACTTTTCTATGTCTAAGTGCTCATGCTCCTTGTTTCCTTACACCCATGGTTAAGGGTGTAAGGTCTTATGCCTTCTACTCTCTTCTCTCCGGAGAGGGACAAATTGGCCGGCTGCCTCCCAACATTTCTCGTTGAAGAAGTCCAATATTTCCAGTAGCGACCGCCGAATGAGTTTCTCCAGTAGCATCTTTGACAGCTCTCTCATTTCTTTTTCCAATGATATGCCAAACTTTTACCTCTTGCCCGTTTTCTTAAAGAACATAAGAACAAAGGCAACTGCAGAAGGCCTGTTGGCCCATACGAGGCAGCTCCTATTCTATAACCACCCAATCCCACTCATATACTTGTCCAACCCGTGCTTGAAACAATCGAGGGACCCCACCTCCACAATGTTACGCGGCAATTGGTTCCACAAATCAACAACCCTGTTACTGAACCAGTATTTACCCAAGTCTTTCCTAAATCTAAACTTATCCAATTTATATCCATTGTTTCGTGTTCTGTCCTGTGTTGATACTTTTAATACCCTATTAATATCCCCCCGGTTATGTCCATTCATCCACTTGTAAACCTCTATCATGTCACCCCTAACTCTTCGCCTTTCCAGTGAATGCAACTTAAGTTTTGTTAATCTTTCTTCATATGAAAGATTTCTAATTTGGGGAATTAACTTAGTCATCCTACGCTGGACACGTTCAAGTGAATTTATATCCATTCTATAATATGGCGACCAAAACTGAACTGCATAATCTAAATGGGGCCTAACTAGAGCAAGATATAGCTTGAGAACCACACCAGGTGTCTTGTTACTAACGCTGCGATTAATAAATCCAAGTGTCCGATTTGCCTTATTACGAACATTTATGCATTGATCCTTTTGTTTTAAATTCTTACTAATCATAACTCCCAGATCCCTTTCGCAATCCGACTTCGCAATCACAACACCATCTAGCTCGTATCTTGTAACTCTATCATCATTACCTAACCTCAGAACTTTACATTTATCAGCATTAAACTGCATCTGCCAATCCTTTGACCATTTCAAAACCCTATCTAGATCAACTTGAAGTGATAGTGAGTCCTCCTCCGAATTAATTTCCCTACCGATTTTCGTATCATCGGCAAATTTGCAAATGTTGCTACTCAAACCTGAATCTAAATCATTTATATATATTATAAACAACAGAGGTCCCAGGACAGAGCCTTGAGGCACTCCACTTACAACATTTTCCCACTCTGACTTTATTCCATTTATACTAACTCTCTGTTTCCTTTGGTATAGCCATGCCCTAATCCAGCTTAATATAGCACCCCCAATACCATGAGACTCTATCTTTTTAATCAGTCTTTCATGTGGCACTGTATCAAAAGCTTTGCTAAAGTCAAGGTATACAACATCGCAATCCTTACCACTATCAACTGCCTCAACAATGCTAGAATAAAAAGATAACAAATTTGTTAAACATGAACGGCCATTTATAAAACCATGTTGCGACTCAATTATTAATTTATGTTTTTCAAGATGAAGACGAATTTTATTTGCTATTATAGATTCGAGTAACTTTCCCACAATAGACGTTAGGCTAATTGGTCGATAGTTAGACGCAAGTGATCTATCTCCTTTCTTAAAAACTGGTATCACATTAGCAACTTTCCAAAACTCTGGCACTCTGCCTGACTCTATTGATTTATTAAATATGGTTGACAGTGGGTCACAAAGCTCCTCTTTGCATTCTTTAAGCACCCTAGCAAACACTTCATCCGGCCCTGGGGAT